AACAAATTAATTTACATGAATAAATATAGTAATGGTGATTCTGAATATACTTAATAATAAGATTTGCACCAACATGGAGTCAGGATATTTGTTTGCATGAAGATGCAAACAATACAAACATAATGATCTAAAAACCAATAAAAATTAAATTCTAGTCATAAATTTCTAATTTTAGTATAAAACGTACTTTGAACAAATCAACAGATTATTACAGATTATTACAGATTATGAAAGAGCAAGTTTAATAGTATTTCTTTCAATTATTAATAAACCGATTTATTTTTAGAAAATGTAACATAGATATAACAAGAAGTATCTTGTGAATTCATTTATAACATATAATGAATTGATCAGCAGACTATTCTGGAATCGAACCCTGCTATGGAAATATCCCTGACTGAATTATTCAAATTAGCATAGTTAGCGTAACCACAATATATGTAATTGCAAAAAATGTTTGTGGATGGTTTCCTAGAAGTAACAAAGCCTCTTGGAAGGTAATGATGGGTTATTTCATAAACTAAAGAAGGCAATTAACACCATTGGATGAAGTTTTGGTAATCAAAAGATACTGATTTCATGCTTGATATAGTGGTAGTATCATATTGTCTCTGGATGTGAATGCAACTTGCTTCTTTTACAATCTACTGTTCTTGATTTTGTGGTTGTTCCAAGACTTGTATCTACCAAACCTAAACAGAATGCAAGGTCGAATTTAAATGAGTTAATTTTTGTATTATTCATTTTGTCGACACCCATTTTGTCAAAAGTTTGTTTCATCGAATGTTCATTTCATCAAAAATTATTTCGTCACAAAAAAAAACTTAATTAAACAAATTCCTCCTGACACTTGCCACAAACTCCGCTTTCCTCACCTAATTTCTTAACTAACTTCCCATATTCCTCACATCTAACTCATTTGGTCTCTGGCTCAAGGATGAAATAATTTTTGATGAAATGAACTTTCGATGCAAACTTTTGACAAAGTAAAAGTGACCTGTATGTTGAGTTTGATTGCTTGCCGAACTACTAATAGATAATATGAGAGAGGATATAATTAATTCTTCATTAATGATTGACTACTTGCAGCAAAAAACCTACTTTAATTTTGGTATCAGAAAAAAGATCTCACAAACAAATATATGCAAGCCTTTAATTATATCATGAAATAAATATTCATTAAACATCTTAAATTCTAAATAACCAAATTCTCTCATTTAACCAAAACACCACCTCGCCAGATACTGTTTCATTAGTTTTTGTGGTGATTTCCACCAATCTGATCATGAATAGAATCGACAACATTTTTGATGATGCATAAAAAAATTGCAGGTAATAAAATAATATAATATTACATTTATTGTTGTCATTTGGCACTAGTATTTATAAATTGAATCAATAATAAAGTAGATTTACAATCAGCATACTCACATGAGAAATCAAATTAAATACAGCTATGATCAACCAAATTTGATTTGTTTTAATTACATAAACACTTTATTCTACCACTTTGGTATTATTAATTATTGCGATTTACCAAATTGAGTTAATATTAACCCAATATTCAAGTTTTTATCATACACATACATGAAACACATGCACAAATGAGCAAAGAACAAAATTTTGAAAAATATAATATGTGGTTTAGTTTTTTTGATTTTTTTTGTGCACAATTTAAATTAAAAATAATAATTTTTTTTTAATTCAAGAGTACACACTGCCAACAAGACTAGTTTTTGTGAAAGATATAAAAGGACATTTTTACTAATTAGTTAATAATCTAAACCAATCAATTATTTACAATTAAAAACTTGCTACAGTAATCTATTAATAATCTAAACCATCTGCATTAGTATTAGGTAAAATCAAAATATTACACCAAAAAAATTAAAAATGACAGTTTTGCTATGTTGCTTCAATTATGATAATCAATGGCTGTTTTTCTCTTTTCTCTCTGAAATTTTCAAACAAATAATAAAAATTAAATCCTGAATTTTTCTTATTCTAAACTAAACAAATTCTACAAAAATTCATGAAATTTTGTAACAATGTTACTTTACACTTTATATTTTATATATTAACAAAAAGTAGCTGGCATTTATTTAATTGAATCAATCATGAAGAAAACTTCAATTTGATTTGATCTACAAGAGATCAAAGGAATCAAATTTCAATCAAAATTTTTATTCTTTTTTTAAATCAAACACCCAACAAAAGTAAAAAATTTGTTCCCAAAAAATTATTTTATCCTAATGATAATTTCATTATCATTGTCTATATCATATCATTATCATATAATTGTTATATAATTGTTATATCATGTCCATGTCCTATTCTTAATACTATACTTAAAAAAATCAGTTCATTCCTGTAAACTCTGATTTACTTTTTGGGGCATTCTTCAGTTAGGCCAGTTTTATTGTTTTTTTTATTAATTATTTTAAATGGTAATGGTGATCATCACAGAAATTTCCAAAAATCGTTATGGAGTTATTAAAAAGTCAAGATATTCGTTACACAATTCAATGTCAGTTCTAACTAACTAACTAATAATGCGAATCAAGTGTAACCGATGACATTTTTTATTTTTCTATATATATATGTCTGCGAATCAGTGTAACCGATAACATTTTTTTCTTCGAATAATATAAAAGCGGTGACCTTTTCCATTTTCTATCAATGCGAATCTATGGTGAGGCGGTCACATTTTTTTTTTAAAAGTACTTTCGAATCATAGTGTTAAAAAAAATTCTGTAACAATAATAAATAATTAATGACGCGTTTGTCGATCAAATAAAATTTGTCATCTTTTTTTTTTAAAAAAAAAGTCGTTTGTGATAAATAAAAGAAGAAAAGAAAAAGAACTAGCCGATATTGCTGGGTAAAGTACATCACAAGAGTGTTGGCGGCGGTTATCGCCCTCGTCGTCACTCTAGTTATTATAAAAAGAATGGTGGTGGTTGCGATCATTGCAACTAGTTAATACGTAGAATATTTGGAACTAGTTTCCCTGAAGTTATATCTATTAATAAAATATACTACTTTTCGTGTTTATTTTATTAACTTGTGTTTCAAAAGGGAAGCTAGAAGAAAGACCTCCAAGACACTTTGGTGTCTCTTGTATGGAGATCCCGTTACTTCTGCTTTTCCTATTGACATTAACAATAGTGGTGCCATGTCCATCGGACGCTTGAAAGAAAAAATCAAAATTTCTAGCGACACGAAAGCAAAAGATATTATACTATGGAAAACGAACATCGCGTATGATGAAAATATAGAGGTAATAGATATTGAACTTGAACTTTCTGTATTTTCAAATTTTTCAACATCTATTATTTTACTACAAATGCAAACAACCTTCTTAGCACGAATGGTATGGGGATATGGGTGTTTTAAAAGTCACTCTTTACGAAAATATGGTAAAAATAGTGGTTTAAGTGTGTTACCTAATATAATAATAATCGACCCCATTTTACTTTTGAAAAAAAAACATATTATTTGTTTAATAAGATTCTACATTAATTTGTAACTTAGCATAGAATTTATATAGGTTTTAAAAAATGTAGATTTTGCATTTACACCTCAGGAAATTCAATACAATAAAGAAGCAAAAAACTCTTCAATTTATTTAAAGAATCTGAAGTTCTTAATATTTTCAAAGTTTTATTAACTATTTACATTCATGGAAGTTCTTGTTTAGCTATAATAGTAATAATGATAAAAATATCAGTTATCCAAAGTTTGACAATTGAAAACTTATTATATTAAATTTTATTTATACATCACCATAATTATCATCATCATCACTATTTTCTTTATTAAAAGATTCTTTTAATTTTTCCTTCATACCTTTAAATAATTCCTCCATTAATTTACGATCTTTCCAATCTTTATTTAAAATTTTTTGGCCCCTTTTCATGAATTCCAAAGCCAAATCCACTTTATTACATAAAATTAAAGATTTAATAAAAACTATCCAAGTATTAAATGTTGGATTTAATGATGATTTTATTTTCATTAAATCTTTCCAGATTAATAGTACACTCTGCAAATCTCGATGTTTAGTATAAATATCTGCTAGTATTTCAAAAGTTGTTAAATTTGGTTTAATATTTAAATCAATCATTTCTTTAAGACAATTTTTCACTTGATCTAGTTTTTTGAATCTACCAAAACCTTTAATTAAAACATTAAAAGTTGAATAATTTAATTCAATCTTCTCATTATTATTAAGAACATAATAATACCATTCTATTGCCTTTCTAATATGTGAGTTTATCAAGTAGTCATATGTTTTACTACTATTCTTATTTTTATTTGAATAATGCTCAGCTATTTTAAAATTGCCAGATATCATAAGATTAATTATTGCTATATCATTATTAATATTCCATCTTTTTTTGATTTCAACATTAAAAAAATTTTCAGCCTCTTCAAATCGATTCAATTCAAAATAAGTATTTAATATTATGATAAGAGATTTTCTTGATGGTGTTAAGGTTTTTTTTATCATCAATTCATAGATTTTCAATGCTCC